TAATTAATGTAAAACCAAGTATTATCAAAGTCAGCCAAGTGGTCTAGATCGGTGTGGATAGGCTTAATAATTTTCCTAAATTATTTAATAATTATGAAATAATTTATGATAAATTAATTTCCTAATTTAATTTTTCTAATTTTTTAATAATGATTTATTTGAATAATAAAAATGGATTATTAGTTAAAGAGTTTCCCTAAATTATTTGATAATTATTAACTATAATTATTGATTTTGTAGAAATTAGTAAATTATGCTAATTAGTAATTTCTTTTATCAATAAATTATTATTGTAAAAATTTAATGAAAAATTATTAATAACAAAAAATTATTAAATAATGGATTGTTTATGAATTTTTGGTAAATTATTTAATATTTTTTAAATAAAGGGTTATTTCTGAAATAATTATTTCATAATTTTTGGTAGAATATTTTCCATAAATTTTTAATAATTTTCATAACTAATGGATTATTTAACAATAATGGAAGATCCCATGGATATATTGGAAACATCAAATTCCCCTTATTCCCCTCTCTTTAATTTGCTTGAAATAACGTCTATAGATATAAATATTGTTTGATTTGGAAAGCCAAATCTTAATAAACTATGACCCTATTTTTTATGGGAAAGTGGAGAGACTATAGGTGAATTAGAGATATAAGTAAAGGAGAGGATAAAACCAAGGTTAAAAATATTGATACACCCGATACGCTGGTAGGGGCGTATCAGGCATTTTGATACTTGTTTGTTTACTTTTTTTTTTAATTTTTTTTTTCAAAACTGGTTCATGGGAGCCTGTCTAGGATCCCTCCATCCCTTGAACCGATCAGACCCCCGATACACCCACTGTAGGGGTGTATCAGAAGGGTCCCGGAACGATACATCTCGTTCGATATGGGCCGATACGTAATGATACTTTGAACCTTGGATAAAACATATATTGAGCTAATTAAGGAGAGAAGCTAGGTTGTTATAGGAAGTGAGAGACGTGAGTTGTGGGGGGAGAGAGAGAACCCTATGGGAAGGGAGAGGAATGAAGAGAGAGGGTGTTAAGATGGCAAATTCGGAGTGGTGGGAAGGGGAGAGTAGAGAGAGTCAAAGAGAATGCAGGGTTGGGGTAATGGAGCAAGGAGAAACAAGGTGATGTGGACTGTCTTGCTATATATATAGATAGATTTTGAAACCGGCTTCTCACAATACACGCATTTTGGCAATGTACTAGTTTCTACTTTAATAATAGTCGTAGTATTCGTCATTGAGTACCTCTACAAAGCCAAAATCTTTGCATGAACCTAGGACTAGAAGATGAATTGGACTCATTTTGACCTCCAAACTATTTTGCCACATTGAAGATTACTCAAGAATATTTCATATGGTAAGGTTGTTTTGGTTTCAAAAGAAGTCATTGAGTATATCTCTCCCCACCCTGAATTCATGGAAAGATTTTTGTTCTACAACATGCATGTCTTTGTTTTTTTTTTTTTAACCACATAAGCTAAAACACGAAATGTGTTATTAACTGTGCTTTTTGTTTTGAGAAGAAATTGGTTTTGTTTAAAAAATTATTAATGTTTTTAAAACCAGGTTTCTAAAACAAAAACAATATTGGTGTACAAACATAATGGGGTGTTTTGCAATGTGAATTGTTTGTCCTGTTTGTAAGTTTCAAAAATCAAATAAAAACCAGATGGTTTGAAAACAAATTAGTTCTTAATTTGCCCATGGCATCCAAAAGTAGAGAGAAAATCTAAGAAATAGTTTAAATAATGTAGTTAGGAAACTTCTCCTATTATTTTTTTTTTAAAATTTTGATCTTTTCAATAAAATAAAAACCAAGAATTAATAAAGGTCAGAATTTCGATTCCAAGCGGATGCAGTAACTAACCTATTCCGCATCGATCGTACTGTAATTCTTACTTGGTCTAGTTTTGGAATCATTTTAGATGATTTTGTGCAAAAAACATGTCTTCTTATGTTAAAATTAAATGTATTTTAAAATCATCCTTACCCCATCTTCCCTCATTTTCCCTTTTTTTTTTCATTGTTTTTTGTGTAAAATTTAGGTGACTAGTCACTTGGCAACGCTGTGACCCCGTGGATTCCACACAAAACTGATGGAACACTTAATTAATTAGAGCATCACCATCATCTCAGAAGATTCTTAGTATCTTGACATATGGCATCTTCATCAACCATTTGACATCTTTAGTCAATCCTATTCACAATATATTTACTTCAAGTAACAAAAAAAAACCATAATTTTTTTTTCTCTTTCATTTTATTGTTGCCTGTGGGTTCATTTAATTTATTAATTTGGCTTATAGCTTATCATCCAATCTCGTTAAATTTCTCAAAAAGTTTGGTTTCTTTATATCAGTTTTTCTATTATACTCAAATCTATCCAAGGTTTTGAATCATCCTCTTAAATCAGAAATTTTAGAAAGTTGAATAAAATCTTATAAATGGCATATCTTTTCAGGCCTCCTGGTTCAAATCTTTTATTTTATTTTTTTCAGATCTTGTTAGTTAATTAGATCTACTATTCCCCACTCTTATGATCTTATCAGTCAGATCTAAGACCTCCTTTAATTTGTTCTCATATCAACCCCGAGAAAGGTTGATTTTATTAGGAACAGGAAGACTAAAGATGGATTACGAAGTAATGGAACATGCTTTAATTAATTAGAACCGAGATTAAAAACTGAAGAAAAATATTACAGTGAGTAAATGGTAGAGGAAGATGAATAACCAAAAGAGTTATACGTAGAATATTTAGGTGTATCGATCAAGGGTTAATGGGGATTGATCTAAGTCTTAAGCTCTATATCTTGGGTTAAATGATTAATTGTAGCAACTTTAGTGGATTAAAAAGCCTTCAACCTACGCCTTTCATTGAAAATGTGATACTCAAACCAACATGACTGATACACATATATGCTAGTTTTTAACCCAGTTGGTTCTGATCATCATAAACTTGAACTTGTGAAATCACTTGAAAAATTCCAATTATATTGGTCCCAGTACCCTCAGAAACTCTCTCTCGACAAATCCTCTGCCTCATCTTCTCATTATCCTTATTCCATGCCTGCCTGCAGTGGTATGTTCCTTGTACAGAATCATCAGGTCAGATTAGCAGGTTATTTTGTTTTGTTTCCTTTTTTGGCTGCAATTTCATTTTCAAAGTACAAATATAAAATTCTTGCGCTCTGAAACCGGATTAAATAACAAGATGAAATGGAGCTTGTTCAGACGAAACCAGTGGGAACATAAGAATATTAATTTATCAAACTGATGATATTTTCTATAACTATAAAGATTAAGAAAAACAAAAAGATGATATTTTCTGCCATTTTTAACATGGTTTAATTTAATGTGAAAATGCAATGCCGAACTGATAAAGGGAGTTTGGTCTGGGTAAAAGATGCTCTAGCTGAGAGCAGCTTTTGTTGCATTGCAGGTAAGTTATAATACTTTAGATGTATGTGTATGAGAGAGAGTTTCAGTAGTAATAATGAAGGCAACAAGTATACACTTTTATGACTCTTTGAATTGGAATTCTCCACCTGACATTTCGACCGGTCGGGTCTATTACCCCGGTTCCCATATAGCTAGCTCTGTAGCTCATCAAACACATTCACTTGAATTCTAATTCCTAGTGTTGTGAGACTCAGACCCGTCCTGATTGTTAAGCCAATTGTTTGATGATTCTTACTATAGGTTGAAGAATCCAACCAACCGGTTATGTTCTTTTGGCATGGTTTTTCAAACCGAACCGGTCAGGGCACCGTTTTCCAGTTCGTCAGTTCAACTGTCTGGGTCAAGCGATTTGACCCGTGACATCATAAATAAATAAATAAAACAAAAAAAATACTTATATATAATATAATAAAAAATACCATAGAAATTTAAATAAAATACACAGAAAAAATATAGGAAAAAGAACAACATATGAAAAAAATAAAAATAATAAAATACAGAAAAAAATTGTATAGGAATTTTGTGCAAGATAAGGGTGCAAATCACATTATTGCAAACAAAACCAAAATATAAAATTTGTATCTGGTTCAGATCGATTTGTATTGCGAACAAACATAGTCTCAATGTTTTTTGTTTGGAATATTACCATCAGTCCATCACTGACTGGTAAACGGACCAGGCTGGTTTCTTTTGAACCGACCCGGACAAACTTCACAACTATAGCATCAAGGTAATCACGGTTCAGACATTGGAGAAAAATAAATAATTAAATATAATAAAGAAAAGGTAATATCATCTCACTAGCCAGTAGCCACTAGGATTTCTCCCTTTTTCTTTTCCTTTTTCACCTTTTTCTTTAACAAGATTGAAGATTTTCTTTTAGACCCCACGTCCCCACCAAGATACTTCTTTGCGGAGCAAATCTGGCAATACTCGGTTCTTCCGGTTCAGACCGAGTTCTAATCGTCTAGACGTCTATAATAATGAGCCAATCACAACACACCACGTCAGCTCCTAAGTGGGGCTCACGCGTCCGTATGACGTGTTTTAAATTGATTGCCCACTATGTTGGGTTATGGGGCCCACGAACTAGCAAATGGTTGGAGCTTGAGAGCACGAGATCCGAACACCGAATGGGTTCCGGTCCCGCCAAAGGATTAAGTGATTAACGACGACAAAGATCTTGATGATCTGATGATTCTGATCCTGTGTGGACCTCAAATCAGGATCAGATCTACTTGAGCCTGTATCGTGATCCGTAATCTCAATTGCTGTGTGGGCCCCAAATCTATCAACATTGCCACGTTGTAAGCTAGGGACTAAGACCTATCTACGGATTGTAGCAAAGGACAGAAGATATGGCCAAGAAAAGAGAAAGGACAGGCATACGTATCGTGCGTCATAAGGAGGAGGAGTGTACGCCATAAACTTCACATTGAAAAAATGGAACAACAACGGCTAGTAAAGGCGGGCAAGGGCGGAAGGTGTGGGTAGCCTATTCTTGCTTCTGGTCTCTCCCTCTCAGAAATGTCTGAATACATTACATGAAAAGCGAAAAAGTCTCATTTTCTGTTGTTTTTCAAGGAAACCAATACTGTGCTTAAAGCAAGAAAGAGAAAAGGCAGAGATGCAGAGAGAGGTAAAGGTTAAAAATGGTGGGAATCTTTTCTCGTTTTCCATGTATAGCCGATCCCACAGCACCAGAACCACCGCTGTCTGTGTGTGTTTCTCTCTCCCCTCTGGTGGCTTGTACCAGTGCTACTACTTCTTTTCATGTGCTCTTACTCTGTCCTTTTCTTTTCTGTTTTACTCTCTCTCTCTTTCTCTCCCCCCCCCCTCGAGTTCTTGATGGTGGTTGTGTTTCTGGGGTGAACTAATGCCTGTTCCTCAATGGGTTTTTCATGTGGAGATGCATTTGTAAGGCCTACCTTCCTTTTCTTATTTTTGTTTTCAATCTTAACATTTCTGAGTGTTTAGATTTTTGTGGGTTTTCTTGGATTTAATTCCCAGGTTTCTTCTGTTTGTTGGTTTTATTGTGATTTTATTTCAGGACGAAAAAGAAACCCAAGTTCCATTGAGAGAGGAAATTGGAGAGAAGGGCCGCAACGGTGGTGCCAGTACGAGAGGTCAGGAAATGGAGGTCGAATTCGAGTTCAAGCCAATGGAATACCCCCTCGAATTCAAGCCAACAGAATGCCATCCTGTTGAGTTCAAGCCTATAGAATACCACCCTGTTGAGTTCAGGCCAACAGAATATCACCCTGTTGAGTTCAAGCCAATAGACCACCCTGCCGAGTTCAAGCCAATAGACCACCCCATCGAGCCGTCTGATGAAGACAGACCCGTGAAGTGCCCGATTTCGGGTTCTTCAGTTCTAAATGTAAGACCTTGCCTTGTCTCTTTGTTGTTTTTTCTGATATCATGTTCTATGTTTATTAAAGGGCTTCCAGTGCTCATTTTTTGGTTTCTTTTTATCTGTTCTGGGGTCTTGTCTGAAACTACTCTAATTTATACTTGTTCTTCTATATTTACTTTGCATTCATGAATATTATTATTACTATAATTAAAGCAGTTCCTGTTTTGTCTGTTGTTTCTACAATCCTGTCCTGGAAGTATGGGAGTTGCTCCATAACTTTTATTCTGCCTGTGTAATGGAATATCTAAGTCTGCACTGTTTCACTATGCTGCCTGTCTGTCAATCTGTTGGAACTAGAGGTAGGGGACATGAAAGAAGAGAAAGCTGAACATTAAACTCTTAGACATGATGCGAACTCCTTTTTTGATTGTTAGCAACTTTTTCTGGAATTTAAGTGCAGATCCTGTTTATTTTTTCTAAATTCACACTTGGTTGGATTTTCAACTACTTGTTGGCATCTCGTGTTTCTGTTATGGGCCCGAGCGTAGGATCGCGTCACGGGTCGCTCCACCGCAGAACCTCAGATCTTTCCTTGCCCTTGGCCTTGCATACAGGCCCTATTTTGACTATCTCAGGGGTGATTTGTCCAAGAGATCACCGAACTCTCCTTTACTCTCTTT